GAGGCGGAGGTTGCGGTGAGCCGAGATCGCGCCATTGCACTCCAGCCTGGGTAACATGAGTGAAACTCCGTCTCAAAAAAAAAAAACAAAAAAAAAAAACCAATCTCCTCCAACCCCCAGGGCCCCTTCTCTAGTCCAGGTCCCCCTCTCTCACTGCCGATATCCCCTCAGCTTCCCCTGCCTGCCCTTCTTCCCCAACGTCTGCAGGGCAGAGGCAGCTCAGGAGCTTGGGCCACCTCTCTTCCCATTCTACTTGCTCTCCCTAGGCAGTCACATCTATCCTTTGACTTAGATACCATCCAAATATGGGTGGCTCCAAAAATTCAATCTCTAGCCCAGATCTGGCCCTTGAACTCCAGACTTAAATTCCACCTGGCTACCAACTCTAGCATGTGGCTGTCACAGTCAATGTCCAAAACCAAACTTTCCATCTGCCCTCCAAGCCCCTTTGTCAAATGGGCCCCATCTCAGAAAATGAAACACTGCTTTCTGTTGATTACACCACAGCCCAGGCACCCTCATTTCTCTAATAGCCTCTGTCCAATCAATTCACAAAACCTGATGGTTCTTAGACAGATCCAGGACCTGCCCACTTCTCAACACCTCTGCTGCCACACCTTCAGCCAAGCACCATCACCTGTGACCTCCATGGCTGCAGGTGCCTCCTAACTGGCTTCTCTCAGATGGAGGTCAGCTCTCCACCTTTCTGGGCTCACGATTCTCCAGAGTCTTCTCCTCGCACTCAGATAAAATGCAGAGTCCTTCAAGGCTCTGCATGGCCACTGCTGCCTCTCTCACTCACCCACAGTCATGCCAGCTCCCTCTGCTCCTTGACGTCAGAAGCCCATCCACACACCCAGGTGCTGCCAATCTACATGCTCGCTCCCTCCACTCAGGCCCTGCTCAAACACCAACAGAGCCCTCTGCTGACCTCGTGGAAGATTCCACTCCCTCCTTTGTCCCTGTCACTCCCTGTCCCCTGAAGCTGTTATTTCTCCTATTAACAGCATGAGCCTTTTCTCGGGTCCATCGTTATTGCTGTGGTGCCAGCTGTGAAGCAGGGGCTTGTCTCTGTCCCCTGCTGTGTTCCCACGATCCATGATAGCACTGGCACCTAGCAGGCACTCGACAGACATGTGTTGGATGCTGAGTGAACACATAAAGAACGGAACCTTTGGGAGGCCGAGGCGGGTGGATCACGAGGTCAAGAGATCGAGACCATCCTGGTCAACATGGTGAAACCCCGTCTCTACTAAAAATACAAAAAATTAGCTGGGCATGGTGGTGCGTGCCTGTAATCCCAGCTACTCAGGAGGCTGAGGCAGGAGAATTGCCTGAGCCCAGGAA